CACCCAAACAGCCATCATCTAGGGATTTTCCAGAATAAAAAAGCTCATCTAGAATGAGCAACGAATTTAACCACATTTCTGTTGATGTAACCATAAAGCTACACACCCCTCCAATTCCCCCCCTCTGGTAACTTTAGGGGATTATCAGTCCATTAACTGACACAACAACACATCAAGTCCTATTGCATATATACCTTTATAATTAAATTATATTCAGTAGGAAAAGCTGATTTGTAGCTGTTTTGCTTATATAGTGCATAATAGTTTTTGTTGAAAATACGCAGCATGTAAACAACATGTAGCCTATGTCAGTAAAGCACAATGAGACATGTAGTGCATAAATATTTAATGCTCAGATCAGCCATCCAGAAGTTGTTTTTTTTTGATTGCTTTATTTTGGTTGTTTGTTTTTTGTAATGTAGGTTGGAGTATGTCAAGTTGGTTAGCACTATAAAAGCCCAACGCAGTGTTTTGCTTAGTTTCTTTATCACAGATAAGTTTTGGGAATTAACCATTTGTGATGACTACTTGAAGCACGTTCTTTCAGATCTATGTACAAACCTGTTTTCAACAGGCATGCTAAAAATGATGAGAATTTCCCCAAGTTTCCCCGTCATGTCATCCACAATATCACTTCATAATTTTTATAATGTGCACTTATCTAGTGGCAGTAAAGCTGAATAATCATTTATAGGATTCAAAATAAGAATAGAGTTTAAAGTTCGTATATTTTGCAAGGGAGCGGCTGGTTTGATCTATCTAGCAGTTCCTTCCCTCCTCCACAATCACAGAGTCACATGACTGTGAGCTTGGTTTTGGCTTTGGCTTGGCATCACCAACAAATAGGCTACAGTAGAAAAGAAAGTGAGAGAGTGCCGGTGTCCGGCTCGGGACTTTCCAGGGTGTATTATGCTTGGCATGTGATATTCAGCCACTGGTGACGTGATTATACAATCAAACCAAAAGAAGAGCGCGGGAAAACTCTGCTTTGTCAGGACTTGAGGAGACAAGAAAAATGGATGCTTCAAACACACACTCTTGTATGGCACACTGAAATTGATGCTCTGTTGTTTTAAAGGGATAATAGTTCTCCCCAAAATGAAAAACTCCGTCATCATTTAATCACCCTCAAGTTGTTCCAAGCCTCTATGAGTGTCTTTCTTTTGTTGAACAAAAAAGAATATATTTTGAAGAATTCTGGTAACCAGGCTGTTGCCGGTAGCCACTGACTTCCATAGTATGGAAAAAATAATACGCTAATGGCTACAGCAACTGTTTGGAAAGAAACTCATACAGGTTTGGAAAAACTTGAGGGTGAGTAAATGATGACAATTTTCATTTTTGGGTGAACTATCCCTTTAATTAGAGTGAGCTATTGTCTCATTTATGTTGGCTGTTGTCTGTTGTTTCGTTTTTGTCTGTATGTGTGGGCAAAACTAAAAAGTACCTAAAAATATGTCAGGCATTTCATAATATCCCATCACTTGAGAAAATGGCTGCCCTCACTCTTCCACCTTCTATTTTGTATACTGAAATTTCAGTCAGTTACAATTTAATACGGACCACAGGAAGATATATAATCTCCATTTATTTCGGCAGCAATTATTAATTGTGCAGTGTAATGGCAGTCATTGTGAGGCAGTACCTTGTAATGGAGGCCATTACAAAAATATCACTGGATCATTTCTTGGCAGCAGTATATTTTCCGATAGGGGGTGATAAAACAACATTGCAATCGTGGATGCACCATGAGACTAGGCATAACCAGACAGCAAGCTTATAAGATCTGCACTACCAAAACTAAAAAAACAGGGACTTTCCAAAAAGACAATGTCTCAACCCAAAGATGAGCTGTAAATATAGCAGCATTCTGAATATTTAGTGGAAATTATTCCAAGTTGATGTATGAGAACAAATATAGAATAGTGATAGGGTTTTAAAATGACTTAAGCAAATAAAACAGAAACAAGCATTGAAAACCTGCAAAACATTTTTGTCATCCTGAGGATGTTGAAGGAAAGAATATGCATATGCAGACTCTCAGTCTCTTTGCTGAAGAGAATAGGTTTCATATGTGATGAGATTCTTTTCACTGTCACTTGAGCTTGATGATTTCTTTTTATTTCAGGTCACAAAATAATAGAAGTCTCGTCATTTCACGAAACCAATTATGCACCTTCATGGCCACTCGCTTCGTTTTTTTGTTTGCTACACACAAAAAAGAAAACAAAAATCCCAACCTTTCAATAATTCTATTGTATTCCTGTTAGTCAGAAATGAGTCTTTATCTTTCTGCCTTCCTGATGTGTATAGCAATAGATTTTTGGTTTGTGAAATGTTGATAGCCTTCATTTAACTTGATTTTTATGCAATAAGGTAATATAGATTCCTTTTAAATTATAACATTTCACAGTTTGTTGCATAAATCTACTCAAACAATATATTGGACTTCTAACTCAATGCAATTTTAATCTAAACCACTTTTCATCACCATTTGTGAAAAGGTAGTATTGCTAGTTTTGCTTGATTTTTATGTAAAACAGTGATATAGATTCCATTTCAAGTATAACTTTTCACAAGAAAGTTTGTTAGGTACCAAAATCTACTCAAAGAATGTACTGGACTTGCTAACTCAATTAAATTTTAATCCAAACCACTATTCATCATGATAGGAACACATTTTTATAGGCTAGGAAAACAGATACGTAGGTCTATAAACCCCAAAGGTATATTATGCATAGTTTAAAAGTGGCAGCCATTTTGAGGCAGGTAGACCGCGGGCAGCGTAATAAAATGGAGAGCAGATTTAGTCATATCTGTCCCACTGGCATTAAGGGTGGGGCGTCGCGGCATGAGCAAGGCACAGCCATGCACCATGCCAAACACGCAAATGTGTTACCAGGTGAAACAAAAATAGGGACTTCCCAGCTAAACTGGGTTTGCTTGTTTGGTAGTTGATCTTGTGATATAGCGACACAGCCCAAAATAAAAGCTACCACACAGCTAATGTACAATTATTTTGTGTTTGTCAAAATCTGACATTAAGTTCTCACCGATAGCAATGTGCAACTATGTGTTGCTCTACATAAGGGTCATAACAGCAACCAAAGTTTAATTTTATGGAGCACTGCTGGTTTTGTTGAAATTAGGTCAGACTGAATTTTTATGACTTTGTTTTTCAAATATAGGAGGAAGAGTTTGTTGAGTTGCTGTTCTTTAGAATTACTCAGTTAAAATGTATGCATTACGCATTCTCAAAACCTTATTAATATTTTTATTTTTATATTATTATTTTATAAGTTGTTTTTACACAAACACAATAACTTTAAATACATTAAATTTACATTTATTGTGTGTGTGATGTATTTTACATTGACATATATTCTAATCAGGGTAACTATTTCAATAACAAAAAGGTGCTGCCAGGCAGAGTGCCAGCAAACAGGACTGGCAGCTTGGGCATTTCAAGAAAATCACATGGTTTCGCAAAACCAATTCTGACCTTGATTCAGAAAACATTCATTTTATGCTAACTCTGAACAGTTTTTTAAACAAATTCAAAACTAAAAGTCACTGCTGCAGCAAATTAGTAATATTTTGTTGTTTTGTATAATATAATAGTTGATTTAAGCACATGGCATGAGCTGATATGTTTGTCATTTTGTCATTGTATTTATATAGCACCATAAAATTACAATGAATGTACATTGTCTGAGGTGCTTTAAAGCCGTAAGGTAAAACTAAATACAAATAAAGATAAGACAGAGTTCCCATAGCAACACAATTACACCCCCCCCCCCCCCCCCCA